CTTGTTCGATAATTTCCACATTCTGTTGTATCATCTTTCTTTGAAATGGGCACAAATATGAATCGCTTCCCATCAGTTTGGCCAGGTAGCTGTCTTCCAAATTTCTTGGCATAGATGAGTGAGCACTTGCGGCATTGCATCCATTTGTTGAAACATTTCAATTGGTATTCTGTCAATTTCTGGAACCTTGTTTTCGCCAGTGCTTCAGTACAGCTTGCAAACTTCTTCCTTTATTACCATCTGTTCTTGATTATATGCTACCTTCTGAAATGGTTGAATGTCAAGCAATTCTTTTTGGTACAGTGACTCTGTATTCTTTCCATCTTCTTTTGAAGCTTCCTGTGTTGTTCAATTTTATGCCCATGGAATCCTTCGATATTGCAATGCATCTGTCAGTTTGTCGTACTGTGGTGGCTTGCATGTTGCTGTGATGCTGGAAGCTATGCCACTGATATTTCACATACCAGCAGAGTTGCCCATGGTGGACAGGTTTCAGCAGAGCTTTCAGACTAAGACACACTGGGAAGAAGGACCTGGCAGTCTACTTCTGAAAATATTGGCCAGAAAAAACCTATGAATAGCAGCGGAACATTGTCTGATATAGTGCTGGAAGATGAGCCCGTCAGGTTGGAGGGCGCTCAAAACATGACTAGGGAAGAGCTACCTCCTTAGAGTAGGGTCTACCTTAAATGATGTGGGTGAACTCAAGCTTTCGGGACCTTCATTTGCTGATATGGCACAACTCAGAATGAGAAGAAACAGCTACAAACATCCATTAATAATCAGAACGTGGCATGTACAAAATATGAATCTAGGTGAATTGGACATCTTCAAAAATGAAACAGAACACATAAAAATCAGTATCCTAGGCATTAGTGAGATGAAATGGACTAGTATTGGCCATTTTGAAGTGGACAATCGTATGGTCTACTATGCCAAGAATGACAAATTGGAGAGGAATGGCATCACATTCATCCTTAAAAGGAACATTTCAAGATCTATACTGAAGTACAATGCTGTCAGTGATAGAATACTATCCATGTGCCTACAAGGAAGACCAATTAATATGACTCTTATTCAAATTAGGAGCCAATCATTAATGCCAAAAATGAAGAAATTGAAGATTTTTACCAACTTCTGCAGTCTAAAATTGATCAAACATGCAATCAGGATGCATTGATAATTACTGATGATTGGAATAGGAAAGTTGGAAACAAAGACAGATCAGCAGTTGGAAAATATGGCCTTGGTTATTGAAAGGATGTTGGAGATCACGATAGAATTTTGCAAGACCAACAACTTATTCATTGCAAATACCTTTTTTCAACAACATAAGAGGTAACTATACATGTGAACCTCACCGGATAGAATACACAGGAATCCAAATGAATACATCTGTGGAAAGAGATGATGGAGAAGCTGAATATCATCAGTCAGAACAAGGCCGGGGGCCAACTGCGGAACAGTCCATCAATTGCTCATATAGAAGTTCAAAGTGATGCTGAAGAAAATTAAAACAAGTCCACAGGAGCCAAAGTACTACCTTGAGTATATCCTACCTGAATTTAGAGACCATCTCAAAAATCTATTTGATGCATTGAATGCTAATGACCGAAGACCAGATGAGTTGTGGGATGACATCAAGGACATCGTACCTGAAGAAAGCAAAAGGTCATTAAAAAGACAGGAAAGAAAGAAAAGACCAAAATGAGTGTCACGAGAGACTCAAAACTTGCTCTTGAATGTAGAGTAGCTAAGGCGCATGGAAGAAATAATGAAGAGAGCTGAACAGAAGATTTCAAAGGGTGGCTCAAGAAGACAAAGTCAAGTATTATAATGAAATGTGCAAGGGAGAGAAATATAGAAATTTAAATTAAGAAAAACAGAAAATTTTAGAAAAAGAATGGACAGCAGATAAAATTTTTGAAAAGTTGATAGCTAACCTAGGAAATAGATGCAATTCAGTTGTAATGAACAGCAAACAGGAAAAAGAAAAGAAAAACCCAAACTCAAGCTTCCTTACTTTCGCTGTGTGAATGTTTGAAATAAATATTATCTTAGGCAGTTATGACTCACAGTGGTCTGATCTGCTCTTTGAAGGACTATTCAATAAGCAAAAGAAAAACATTTTAAATTTTTTAAATTTTCAAGTCAAAGCAAATAAACCAAAAATAAAATAAAATAAAAAAACAAACCCACTGCCATTGAATAGATTCTGACTCATGGTGACTCTATAGGACAGAGTAGACCTGTCCCATAGGGTTTTCCAAGGCTGCAAATCTTTACGGAAGCAGACTGCCACATCTTTCTCCTGCAGATTGGCTGGTCGGTTCCAAATGCTGACCTTTGGTTATCAGCTGAGCGCTTTAACCATGGTGCCATCGGGGCTCCTCCGTCATAGCAAATAAGGACACATAAAATGGTTCATTGAAAGGAACTAAGAAGATTAAATTAACATGTTTAGCAACTGATTTGTATTTTAAAATTTATAGTTAGTATTTCCATCTGGATGATACTTGTTATTCTTTATGTTGGTATGATTCAGGCAAGTTTATGCTTCCTATAAATACAACTAATCTTATCTGATTTTCTTTTACTCAAATTTCAGTCTAATACAGTAAACTGTAGAATTAGAAAAAGGTGTTTTCTATACAAGCAGAATTTAATGTTCTCAAATAAATGTTAAAATTATGTTTTATATGGTCATTTTGTTTGAACAGCAGGGCTAGTTTGGGAATTCATTGAAATCTACATTGTAATCACAGACCTCCTAGATGACTTGTGCTGGGCGTTTGAATGGTATGGGTGTGCTTGAATCAGAGCAATGTAATTTTCTTAAAAGGAAAAATAGCTAATTAAGTTGCTATCATTCCTCAGTCATCTACAGAGAATAGCCAATAACTGATTAGGAAGGGCAGGGGAAACTTACGAAAACTGGCACTGATTTTTTTTTTTTTTTTAATTGAATCTGTCTCCTGATGATTAACACAGAAGTTTCTCTAGCAATTATGGACTCTCTTATAAATGACTGTCTCATAATTTACAGCTTGCCAGGAGCAGCTTCAACTCAAACATGTGTGTAATTCACTCTTCTGGCTCATTTCCAGCACAGCTTCCCCCAGCCCAGACTCTCTCTCGCACATGTGAAATGCTCCACGCTGAGAGTGCGTGTTCCCCTTTGCCAGAAAAATTGGCCTATCATATAAAGAATGCTATAGCTGGCTCCCAAAGATCCATTCTGATGGAAAATAGGGGTGGTCCTACTAAAGGGATTCCATAGGTCCGTTCCCACACTTCACAGCTAATCACCGATTTCAACCTCCAACCCCTTCTACCAGTTTTTTACTCCTCAGTTGTTTTTTTTAACTTCTAGATTTTTGAGCAAACAACCTAGTTAATAAATTAGAATTTTACTTTGTTTTCCCGTTATATTTTCCCTCCTCTAGTAGGGATGCCGATCAGTTCTAACATGTAAAATATAAGTATTAGGAGCTAAAAGAAAGAAGGAAAAAAATACTGGGCGACTATATCAACCAAAAAAACCCTTCCTGAACACCAAGCACTCGAATACAGACGTGTATTAAAATTTCTCAGGCCTAGAAAAGATATATAATTGGCTCTAATGTATCTCATCTTTATTAGTGGTAATATTTACGTTATTATTAAATGAGCTTATTTCATTTCTGCTTGCACATGATAAGGGTGAAGATAAGGAAAAGCACATAGGCATTAGTATGAATTGGGCCAGTTGGATTCTTTTTTATTGGAATTGAGCTTAGAATCACTAGGAGAACAAAATGATTAGCAGTGGGTGCTGAAATCACTATGCCTATAAGGTGGGTCACATTTCCATGAAGACATTTGTTTGCTGAAGATGTATTGCATGCCTACCTGTGCAATGCACTGTATCTTGCCAATGCTTCCTATCATGGACTTGGGGAAGGTATGAAATGAGGGTAGGGAAGGTGAATAATCAGCATACTAAGCTGCAGAAAATATATCAGAAAGGGTTAAAGAGCCATAATAATGGAACCAAAGGGACAGATGTGGGACCAATGCTCAGAATGCTCAGTTGTTATTCATTCAATTAATATTCACCAGTCACTCCACTAAGTGTTAGGCTGTGGAGTAAGGTTCTGGGGATAGAGCAGTAAATAAGAGAGTCACGATACTTCCTTCACAGGATTTACAGTCTAGAAAAGAGCCGGAGAGTCTGGGAAGAGATAGCAGCAGAAAAAGAACAGTCAGTCATGGAGGATAAAGTGAAGCATCGTGAGAATTGAGAGGTAGGCTTGTTCAGGTCCAAGGCTCTTAAGTGTGAATGTTCCTTTTACACTGCCATAATGTGATTTAACAACTGAGGATACAGAGATGACCAAGACATAGCCCTTGAATTCAGGCATTTGAATCTAGCAAGTGCCACATGAAATGCACATTTACTATATTAGAAGGTGTTAGCCCAGGACCAGGCAATGTTTTGTTCTGTTATACAATAAGCTTGTCATGAGTCTGAGCTGAGCTGATGGCAACTCACAACAACAACATGCAAGCTCTGCTGTTGGAGAGGGAGGAAATAATTGAACGTTCAGAATACCACACTGGATCTACCACAGTGTCTGCAATGCCCAGTGCTCCTTCTTTGATAAAGCTGCCTTGCCCGCCACTGCCTACTCAGAGAATTAGGGATGGACTTTTTTTTTTTTTTTTTCTGGATAGATGTGGCCAATGATTTTACTGGCAGTATTTACCTGAACCAGATCAGCTAATCTATAGCTTGGTAGATGATTTATAATGTAGCCTGGCATGAAAATATGAATTGGCCTGATTGAATTCTTTTTCATTGAAATTGAGCTTAGAATCACTAAGAGAACAAAGTTACTAGCAGTGGATGCTAAAAATGAAAGTTGCAATTCAGAGAGTTCAGAGGGACTGTGCAGAAAGAAACAGGAACACACAGTCAGGTTAATCGGGAAGCTGATGGCTTCAGCACAGTCCCGGGGTGCAGGGAGTGTCCTGGGCTCCCCTCCTCCATCTGACTTAGGGGAGGATGATTTACTATTGCAAGATGGTAAGAGGATGCCAAGAGGCAAGGACAACTCCTAGACTTATGACTTAAATAATTTGATGCCCTTATTGAACCAGAGAACATAAGAGAGGGATGAGGTGCTCAGGAGTGAGGGATTATGATGTGACCTTTGATTATGTTGAGATTTAGGCACCTGCAGGACATCGGAGAAGAGAAAACTGCTCGACAAAAGGATCTAGATCTCAGGAGAGCCATCAGGATTGCAGGTAAATATTCATTTATCGAGTGCCTACTCTTTGCAGGCACTTGCTAGTCCTGTAAAACCTGTTAAGACAGAAGTATCCCCCTGGATACAGTTTTGTGTCCTTCTCTCCTCCATGATTTTGCCCTCCACTCACTCCTCCATTTAAGTCCCTGACTCCAAAGTCCCTACCTATACCTTATCACTGCAAATAACTTCAACTAACTCCACAATCTCAATTTCAAGTTTCCCATGTTCTACCCACCACCTCCTATCATTCTAGTTTCTTCCATCTGGTACCCTGACTCCAAACAATCTTTTACCTCACTGGAACCTACAATTCTATGACCTTTTCACTGTCCCTAACCCTCTCATGTCCTCACTTTGCTTCTTATCTAGATTAAATTCCAACCCCTTCTTCTTGAGAACTCTTACAAGAAGCTCACTTTCTCAGTTGTCTCTCTTGAAGCTAGGGGTTTTCATGTGACTCATTTCTGGACCATGAGCTGCTAGTGAAAATCTGGTGGGGCACGTGGGAAGTGGTTTTGGGGAAGCTTGGGTGTGTCCCCTTCCTCTAGAACCTTAATAGCCATATTTAAACCATGAATCAAAAGCCATGAGAACTGCCAAGATGTTAGCTGGTCCTGACATATTTGGGCAGTTGAACCAAAGGCAGCACTGCATTACTCTGGATATCTTTTTCCACAAAAAGACAATCCACTATTTGAGGCAGGTGAACCGCTGGTGGTGCAATGGTTAAGTGTTCAGCTACTAACTAGAAGATTGGCAGTTCAAATCCACCAGCCGCTCCATGGCAGCCCTATGGGGCAGTTCTACTCTGTCCATTAGGGTCACTATGAGTCGGAATCGACTCGACGGCAACGGGTATTTGAGGCAGAACACATTCTTTTTTTTTTTTTAATTTTATTTTATTGTACTTCAGGTGAAGGCTTACAGAACAAATAGTTTCTCATGA